TTTAAGCCGTCTTGAAGCAGGGTGCTCTGAAACAGACGCAGCTCCTCCTTGATGGCGTTGGGGTCCATTGCTAGTCAAGAGGGGTAACAGCCACTAAAACAAAAGTATCTACGGACAATGGAAGGAGTTGGTCGCCAAAGGTCCTTTTGGCAGTCAGTCCTGGCTGGAAAAGGCTGAACAGAGAAAGGGTTCCCAGCATGAAGACTGAGCAATTTAATCCCCCCACCTCTAAATATAGCTGCCACTAACCCCAGCATGCTTCAGCTTCAGTGGAATCTCAATGGGCCAAATCAGAGAACAGTCCAGGCCTGGGCTTCAGCACCTGCTGCTGCAGACTGAAAGTAGCAACTGCTGGGATATTGATGCCACAGTGATTCAGCTCCCAGAGTGTCATGTGATCCATTAAAAGCAAAGACAATAGTGTCAAAGCACCTAAATAGCCCCCTTAGAGCCTAAGTTAAATATAAATGGGGTGATAGGTTAGTAGTTGATGTCATATCTAAAAAGGTAAACTCATCTTTAGAAATTGATTCATATTTCGGTCCACGTGGAAGGGCTGCATGGAGTCTACCTCCTGTTTATAGCCATAGAACCACCTATAAAGGAAACAAAAAGGCCTCAAACAAGAAAACACGTTCTGCTCTATAATAGACAAGATTTGTCTCTGATTATTTAAAGATCCCTTTAAGTTTTACACTTATGCTTCTCAAATTATAGCAAACAATTTTGATCATTAACCTTCTTTTTAACTGCCGTACTCTTATTAAGCTCTTGTCTCATGAATTACACATTAGCTGGGTTAACACTTTGCTGATATAAGTTTTGTTTATCCTAACATGTGAATGCACAGCTGATTTAGAAAATTATCTTTATGTCACCCAGCCTTTGTTTTCTTTTTTACCCATCTCAGTGTTAATTAGCGAAAGCTGCAGAACGCTGTGCTATAATTGGACCTAAAAAGTTCTGAGCGTGGCAGCTGTGAGAAAAACAGGTGAGAGTCACACGAGCAAGCAGCTATTTCCGCAAATAAGCAGAGTGTGTGTTTGACTGAGCAGCTCTCCATCCAAAACGCGTCAGTCGCAGATAATAATTTTAGAATTAGACATACTTTTTTCCCCCCTTCCTTTGCTGACACAGATGATTTCTGCTCGCTTGCAGCCATGTTCCCCTCTAACTGGTGGAACTGCCATAATGAAAGTGGCTTTTTCATTCTGTTGTATTTCTGCAGCCTGATAAAGTTTGAAAAGACTTTAGAGTAAGGTAGCATTTCTCTTGCAGGGTGCACTAAAGATAGATCAGACTACGCCACATGTCGAGGAGCCTCTAAAATGTAATTTAAGCAGAAGGGAAGAGCTGATGTGCGTAAGAGAGTTCCACTACTTTCATAAAGCGACAGTGACATTTAGGAAAAGTGAGATTTAACATATCATTAAACTGAATTTTACATTCTATTATAGCAGTTTATGTGTGACGGAAAACAAACAGTATAAGATAGAAGGGAATGTTCCATGACTTTATAATCTACCAGCTGAATTTGTGTCAAATTAACCAGAGACTACTGATTGGTTTAAATCTAAACTTTGACTGGGCCATTTTACCACATGGACATGCTTTGATAAACAATGTTGACCTGTTGGCTGCCTCTATAACTTTATTAGTTTTCATGTTGTGCCATACTCTTAAAATGATGATTTAGCAGAGTTTTGTGAGATGTTTAAAGCCTGGGATATGATTTTATACCATAACCCTTCTTTAAATGTATCCCTAACTTTCACCTTAACCTGTTTGCTGTCTTCCTTAGCCAATTTAATCAAAAATGCTCTCTAACAAAACTCAGTCTTTCACTGAAAAGTGGACTCTTTGGACCAATTCAATGAGTTTCCATAGATTCAATCGTCATTATTTTATTTAGGGCATCAGAGTAAAGTGGGCTAACTACAAATGCACACATACTGTGAAGCACATATACTTTGGTTTAGTATTTTTTTAAAAAAAAGCTACAAATAAAATACATTTAAGTTTGCATTCGAAAGGTGGAAAAGGTGTATGAATATTTTTTATTCTAAATGTGATGTCAGCGGATCACATTTTGTTTTTAATCAAACATGGACTTCAATTACAGGTGACTGATCCAACTTTGCCCAATTCCAAACCCCTATCAACAAACTTTTACATGTTTTAATTAAGATCAGATTTATTTAAACGGTTGACATTTTTAACAAGGCATTACACAGTACAGTAATTATGCATTTATGAAGTCAGTACATCTGGGTAAAATATCCAACAGCCTCCCACTGAATCTGAAGCGTCTAATTCAGCGGATGAAACATATGTTGCCCAGTAGAGGGTGATATGTGCGACAGTTTATAAAGATTACTCCAAGTAAAAGAAACGGATAAAACAGAAAAAAAGTCACATTTTATAGCAATGAAAACAAATAAATGTACAAAATCGTTTCACGAATAGAAAGTTATCGTTAATGTGTGCACAGTATTGTGCAAAAAGTCCCCACCTTGAAAAGACCATAAGATCTTTTTAATCACTATCTTTCAGACATTTTTTTATTTTTTAAAAGCTCTACTCTTGGTGTTTCTCAAGAAGTTCTGAATTGGATAAGTGTAACATTATGATCTCACAGTGTGCGTAAGAGTACAATTAGATAAATACTGCAGTTGTGGTTTTAAAGACAAACATGTAACCTGATAAATTTACCATTATAAATTCAACATGTGATGTTTTTTTTTCTGAAATTAAATAAAAACAGAAGGTCAGTTACCTAAAGGTTTCAAAAATGCTGCAAACCTACTTGAGCCGGCCACATCTGGTGGGTTAAACAGCAGGGATGTTGAATATCAAGCCTTGTATAATCTTAACACACTTCACACCCACTCACAAATTAGCCTCCCTGACATTCCCTCCCGATGCAGGGGTGCAACAGCCGTCAGCTTCACCCCAATCCTCTATTCCTGCTTGGAGGTGTTGCTTAGTATATCTGTTAATTACAGTGAGGAAAGCAATCCTCATTGCCAAGAAGAAGCATCATTTGGAGCAAATACACTGGAAAAAATCCAAATCTAGATAAGTCATTTTTTCTTAGAATAAGTGCATTTGTTCTTGGATTGAGGAGGTAAAGGAGACATTTTGCCAATTGAAGAAGACAATTTACACTTAAAATTAGAAAACACAATTGCATTATCTTATTTCAAGTGCATATTATCTAAATATCTGATTTTAAGAGTAAAATTGGTCATTCTGTTGGCAAACTATCTCATTTACCTGCTCAAATTAAGGGTAAATACACTTAATTTAAGACATTTTTTTTTACAAATTTTTAGATNCAAATAAAATACATTTAAGTTTGCATTCGAAAGGTGGAAAAGGTGTATGAATATTTTTTATTCTAAATGTGATGTCAGTGGATCACATTTTGTTTTTAATCAAACATGGACTTCAATTACAGGTGACTGATCCAACTTTGCCCAATTCCAAACCCCTATCAACAAACTTTTACATGTTTTAATTAAGATCAGATTTATTTAAACGGTTGACATTTTTAACAAGGCATTACACAGTACAGTAATTATGCATTTATGAAGTCAGTACATCTGGGTAAAATATCCAACAGCCTCCCACTGAATCTGAAGCGTCTAATTCAGCGGATGAAACATATGTTGCCCAGTAGAGGGTGATATGTGCGACAGTTTATAAAGATTACTCCAAGTAAAAGAAACGGATAAAACAGAAAAAAAGTCACATTTTATAGCAATGAAAACAAATAAATGTACAAAATCGTTTCACGAATAGAAAGTTATCGTTAATGTGTGCACAGTATTGTGCAAAAAGTCCCCACCTTGAAAAGACCATAAGATCTTTTTAATCACTATCTTTCAGACATTTTTTTATTTTTTAAAAGCTCTACTCTTGGTGTTTCTCAAGAAGTTCTGAATTGGATAAGTGTAACATTATGATCTCACAGTGTGCGTAAGAGTACAATTAGATAAATACTGCAGTTGTGGTTTTAAAGACAAACATGTAACCTGATAAATTTACCATTATAAATTCAACATGTGATGTTTTTTTTTCTGAAATTAAATAAAAACAGAAGGTCAGTTACCTAAAGGTTTCAAAAATGCTGCAAACCTACTTGAGCCGGCCACATCTGGTGGGTTAAACAGCAGGGATGTTGAATATCAAGCCTTGTATAATCTTAACACACTTCACACCCACTCACAAATTAGCCTCCCTGACATTCCCTCCCGATGCAGGGGTGCAACAGCCGTCAGCTTCACCCCAATCCTCTATTCCTGCTTGGAGGTGTTGCTTAGTATATCTGTTAATTACAGTGAGGAAAGCAATCCTCATTGCCAAGAAGAAGCATCATTTGGAGCAAATACACTGGAAAAAATCCAAATCTAGATAAGTCATTTTTTCTTAGAATAAGTGCATTTGTTCTTGGATTGAGGAGGTAAAGGAGACATTTTGCCAATTGAAGAAGACAATTTACACTTAAAATTAGAAAACACAATTGCATTATCTTATTTCAAGTGCATATTATCTAAATATCTGATTTTAAGAGTAAAATTGGTCATTCTGTTGGCAAACTATCTCATTTACCTGCTCAAATTAAGGGTAAATACACTTAATTTAAGACATTTTTTTTTACAAATTTTTAGATTGTTTTTGAAATGTATATGCATTTTTATTTTATTTTTAGGTTGGAGTGGTTATAAAACACACAACACACCTGCTGCTGGTATAATTCTGGCCAGATATTCTTGACCTAATTCAAAATTGTTGATTTTAGACTGTAGCCAGTACAAAAATACAATGAGGTGCGGCCCTTCAAAGATGCAATTTCCTGAATAATCTTCTCCAAAAGTCCTGGTGTGGGTTGGCTGTTTGTTTTTTCTACTGAAACACTGTTTTAATGACAAAAAAAATTCCACTCAAATGATCAAAATAGAAGTTTTTATGATGTAGAAAATCACTGAAATGCCTTAACCACATGTAATATGACATGTATTAAGTAAAATACATCTTTATGGATCAGGGAAAACTTAGCAGCCTTAATGTGCATTTAATTTATAATTAGTTGAACTAATGTTTAGTTGATTTAATTTCAGCATTTAGTCTCTACGAACCACAACTGTGCCAGGATTTAGCTAGATGCATGTTTTGGTAAACATCTATATATATATATATGTAAATATATATATATATATATATATATATATATATATATATATATATATATATATATATATATGATGTAAAGTATCACTCAGTTGTAAGCTTTTTAATCCGTTCATCCTGAGTAAAAGACCTGTTCAAATGTGTCATAATATTCTAATATTCATACAATACTCAGGAAAATAAATCTGTATTGCAAATTGATCCTGTTAATATGAGTTAGTAAAAATATCTCCTTTAAAGAATTACCAGAATAGTATATATATATATTTTTTTTTAAAAAAGGTCAATACCTTCAAAATGTTTGAACAGATACTCATCAAAATCGGTTAAAAGATCACATGAAAGTCCGACTACATGGAAGCAAACATGTAAATAAACGAAGGACGAACCAAGACGTTTAAAACACTGACAGAACCTGTTAAGTTACAGGATTTTAATCATCTCCGTTTTGCAAACAGTCCATCTTTTCACTGTGTTCACAGTAACCACTGAGTGTGAGGGAAATAAAACATACAGAACTGTAGATGAAGGAAAGCTGGAGCAAACAGGAGCCCTCCTCTGTATACCTGAGCAGCAACGATCAAAGATCTCCATGGTAACAAAAACTTTTCCTTTTCAAAGTCATTCTGCGGTAAGTTATAAAATACCAGAAAATGAAATGTGCACGTGTTTGCCTGAGAAACTGGAACCCGACTTTCTGTAACCTGCTGGGAAATGGCGGCGTTTTACGACTCCTCCTTGACGTTTCTACAGCAGGTTTAGGATGAACGCCTTCGCTCAAGCTGCTGAAGGGACAAAACATGCAAGGAAGGTCAGTAGAAGGTCAGAGATTGATGTGATGCGTGTATAGTAATAGGAAGGTATACCTGTTACTCTGGAAACCACACATGTCCTCTTGCACTCCTCCTCTGTGTCAAAGCGGTTCCTGTTCCCGCCGCAGCCCCCATACCAGAATTGAGCGCAAGCGTTGGCCTGCTTGTCGTAATACCAGCGGATGTTATATTCTCGACATGTTCCCTGATCCAGAACCAGCCCGCAGCGAGGGTCCAAGGGTACGGTCTCTGCAGGAAGATGTCATGTGATAAGGAGTAAGAACACGCACATAGTCACACACACACACACAAAATATTCAAAAGTCTACCCCCAGAGTGACCATTTCCGCTCCGTTTCTTCAGGGAGAAGCCGGTTCCACGATAATAGCAACACTACTTCAAAAATAATTGGCTTCACTGTTCCTCGCTTCGCTGCACACACAGCATGGACGATACATCGAGCAAAGCTGTGCCCTCTCTGCCACCGGCTCACTAAACCCACCAGACCGCCACTTTACTAGAGGCTCTAATCATGTCACGTCACTGCAGGGGCTCCTGCAGACCCCTAATGATTCTGACTTAACTGTTAGAAGTGGAGGGTTTTAGCATTGTGTTATTAGCATTTATCCCTGCTTCATTTTTCATGCAATTTTCCCAGCTGTGGCTGGTTGGAGGGAGTTAAACTTATTTCAGATATAAACCAGCAATGATTAATATAATGGGTGCATAAAGCCCCTTTTAATGGAGTTTTCTTTGTCATGGAAGCATTTTAGTCACACTGGATAAAGAGGAACCATAGATTCACATTTGATTCAATGTTATCCATTGCTCTACAGAGTCTTTGGCTCTGTTTTTTTTCCTATATTTTAATCATGTAAAGCACTTTGCATTGTCTTTGTACTGAATTGTGCTATACAAATAAATTTGCCTTGCCTTTGACAGTTTAGCAGTTTTATTTTTTAGTATTTCTCTGTGTTTCCTTTCCTCTATATGTCTTTCCATAAACTCTGACCAGTTTCCATGTAGCACGTCTCCAGCATATAGGAGGTAGTTGTGTTCACAGTGATTAGTTGGTTTTCATCACATGCAGGATTTTAGAAAAAAGGAAAAAGACTGCAGCCATCCAGTCATCAGGAAAACTGCCTGCTCTAATGACATTTTCTTAATATTAGATTTCTTAATTGTCCTTTTAAAAAGATTCTCCCACCTAAGCTCTGGGTGTTCCTCCAGAGTTACAGTGGGACTTAAGCTGCAAAAATGTATTTAAAAATAGGTAAAACATTATAAAATAGAAATATTTTCCCTATATTTGTGCAAGTACGTAAGTTATCTACAAATGCAAATCATATTTTTGCTTCTACAATAACACTTCTTGAAATAAGAATCCTATTCCACTGACAGGATTGTTTTATTTACATACTTAAGTCAAGAGCAAATACGCGTATTTAAAAAAAAGAGAAAAAAAAATCCTTTTTTATGGTGAAGTCTTTTCATTTTCAGTTAATTTATTAAACAGTACTCCAAAACTCCCCATTACATTACTTCAAAGATGCAAAAACTTTGTCTGAGATTTAAAAGATATGCTGCAAGCTAAATTTAGAGCTTTTTCTTTTCATTTTTATTCTTTTTATTCTGGAAACATTAATTGCCAGCTGTAAAAGCTTTTTTTTCTGTTTCAAACTTATGGGAGAAAAGACCAAAAATGCAAAACTAACCCAAAAAATATGTATGTATAGAGTAGTGGTATGGTTTGGTGTACCTTTAGGAAGAGCTGGCCGCGGTGGAGGCTCATATTTCACAGAAACACTTGAGGATGAGGTGCTTATGTTTTTAGAGGATGAGGATGAGGAAGAAACTCTGCTACCAGAGGATCCCTCTCTGGCAGGAGGTGGAGTTATATAGTCTGAGGTGCCACGGTTAAATGTGTCCCCCCGTTCATTTCCTCTATTGGTTATTACTGTGGCCTCATGCTGTCCTCCTGCAACCTGAGGAAACAACAAGCAGATTACTGTGGTGTTAGAGAGCTTCAGTAATGTACAGCTATATCTGTACTGCAAAAAATTTTAATCTTAGTAAGTCATTTTTTTAAATAAGTGCATATTTCTTGAATTGAGGAGGTAAGTGAGACACATTGCCAATGGAACAAGACAATTTACATTCAAAATAAGAAAAAACAATCGCATTGTCTTATTTTATGTGCATAATATCTAATTATCTTATTTTAAGAGTAAAAACACTAATTCCATTGGCAAATAATCTTATTTACCTCCTCAAATTAAGGGTAAATACACTTAATTTAAGACATTTTACTCCTTTTTAGATTGTTTTTGCAGTGTGCTGTACTGTGTTCCTTACATGGATGGTGCTGGATCCTTTACTGCTCTCAGTACCAGATCCAGAGTTAAAGCCGGTCCGCTGGCCGTTAAGCAGGTCCGGCCGAGGTATCGGCCTGTACCCATAACCACCAGTGGCGTAGCTCCCAGTACCAATCCTGTTGCCATTGTAGCCGTTATTTCCTTGGCCGTTATAGCCATTTGTTATCCGGTTGTATATCAAGGCTCCATTTTCGTCCTCACAGAACTGACTGACTAACTTGGACTCAAGAGCTGAGAATGAACATAAGAGAGTAAAGGAGTAAACGGGCTGGTAAGATCAGATGAGTGTTAACCTGAAACGCCCATCAATAAACAAGAAAATGAGCCAAAAAATGTGTATATGGTATAAAACAGATGTCTGCAACCTTTACGATGCAAAAAGCCATTTTATTTATTTACTTAATCTAAATAAAACTCTTAAGAGCTGCATCTGTTACAAGACATTTTAAAAATCAACATTCATGATTGCTTCTGAAGGTCTACTCTCTGGAAAGCATTCATTTTATTTATATTTTCATAATGATAAAAAACTTGCAAATATTAAAGGATGGCTTCATTTTCTTGTGGAAGATGTTATTTTTGGATAGTTAAATATAGATAAATAACTACTTTTTTAAACTTAAAAATTATAATACATGTAGTTTTTGGTGTCCTTTTTTTCTGGATATTCAATGTAACTATAAAAAAAAACTGCAGAAACTATTATTTTTATATTTAAATTATGAGTTGGGTCTTTATAAATGTTAGCTTAGGTTATCAAGGCATAAACGTCATAAACAAACTAAGCCACTGCTTAAGGCCCCAGGGCAATATTCCCTCTAATTTATCAAGTGTCTGAGCATACACAGAAGACCCCTGAGTACACTGAGGGCCACTGTGTGCAAAAGATGTGTACACTGAGGCTTTGTTATAAACCCAAGATTATAACAATTTACATGGTTTATTAAAAGAATAAGCAGCAGCTTTCATCAGTTTACTCTTAATTTAAGGGATTTGTCACATTTAAAATGAAAACAAAATAATTAAAAACTTGCTGGGCTGAGAGAAGTTTTACCTTTCAGACATTTTCATTTTTTATACGATGAAATGTGTGCTAAGCCTTGTGATACGGTATAAATTCCTTTCCTTTATATACAGTTTTTTTGTGTTTCTAATACAATCAATTTGACAATAATATAATTCATATCCACAAAAAAAAATCTTTAAAAATGTCACTACTTTACAAAAAAATTCTGACTTAAATTGTAACTATTTTTCACACCTGTCCTTCCCTCTCCAAGGGCTGCCCAAATATGCCAAATATGTTGTTTTGATGATTCATTAATAAAAAATCTGCTTTCAAAATTCGGCACCGGAGGCTTGAAATGTAGTAGAAATATCCAGAAGCAATGATATCTTCTTTAGCTCCTCACATCTAAGTGCTGTGGCCACCATATCTCTGTGGATGTGCAGATTGACCCCTGATAACATTTCACTTCATCATGTATCTCCAAAAAGTATTTTTTCACACAGAACATCGCTCTGCATGGCGAACAGGT